GTTGCATCCCCATAAAGAGCAGTTGCACTGCCGGGTGACAACTCTTGTGATCTCTGTGTCACACCAACACCCTGCCTGTGTTTCTACGCGCTGATCTGTGTGTATTGTTGTAAAATTAAACATCTCACAGCTCAATATCCCCTTCCCTCTGTTCAGCCTGGTCTGGTGAAAGGAGGTTTAACATGGGAGCTGTGTCTGGCTCCTGCATTTTGGCCTGGCTCCAGCTAAGCACTTAAACACGCCCTGCAAAACCCAAGGTTAAGCACGTGCTTGACTGTCCTGCTGGACCAGAGCCGTGGGGGAAGAGGAGGAAAGTCACTTTTGTCACATTTTAACTGTGACTGGCAGTTTGGCCTTTACCCACACAGAAATGTGATTTATTGTAAATCTGCTGGTTGCACTCATGCCTGCATGCTCCGTGCACTTCTTTAGGTTAAAGGAAGCTGTTCTCAAACATGGAGTGCCTCTCCCACCTGGGTGTTAGAAGATTTTATTTATCATTTGGCCATGAGTTTTCTTTGTGGTGTTACCTGGTGATTTCTGGTTTAGCCTCTCCCCTGCCCCATGTCATTATTTAGGCTGAAGATCTACAGCAGTGATCAAAGACAACATTTTGTCATCATCACAGATAATTTGAGATCCCTGCTACATTTTTGCATATGGGCTGTAATTGCTCGAAAACCACATGGATTTTTTTTTCTTGTTCTCTCTGTGGATTTTTCTTCTCAAACAAAGTTCTGCAGCATATCTAGAGTTAGGCTGTGTTTTTGGATGTGCTGCTGAGTCTGGTCATAGCAACCAAATCAGAATTTCTTGTTAAATGGCCTTTCCCTGTCATGGCATGTCTGCTGTTTTGGGATGTTTTCAGCAGATTGGACAGCTGGAAACTCATAAGCTGTTAGTGAATTGCAATTCAGTAGAGCAGTTTCACTGAAAAAACAGCAAGTTCAGTGAATCTAGAACTGTAGCACATGGTTTGCAACTCTTTAACAGGGCAGTGTATTCATACTTGGAGTATTAATAAATGAAGAGCCAAGAAGTTTCTGAAAAGTAACTGCTATTACTTAATATAAAAACCAGAGCTAAACTGGTTATATTATTCTATTATTCTATTATTCTATTATTATATTATACAATATAATATAATATTTTATTATATTATTCACAAAAATATTATTATATTATTAAAAAAAAAAGTTTGTCCAATCTTTCTGTCCTTAAGGAATAGTAAGGAACTTTACAGTGTATGAAATGGTATGGGTAATTCTTTAACTTTATTAAAAAAATACACCATCAATTCCTATGGTAATTTCAAATTAAAATTGTAATTTTGTGAAAAATGTATTTAATTTATGTGACAGAGAGATCTACATAACTTTAGGAGAGCAGCCAATTTATGACATTTAAGCATATTGTCAAGGCAGTCTTATTATACTCATGAGAATATTCCTGCTGAAATTATGCATACGGCCGTAAAAGCAATAAATGCTGAGCAATATTTAACTTAGAGGTAAAGAATCAATTAATATTTGCACTGCTAAGCATGCATTTATTTCTTTTTGTATTTCTTTTTTTTGCTCTTCATGTATTTACCCTGTCCTAATAATAGATGAAAAAGAGTTATCAGAAGGACTGAGGATGTGTTCCCTGATAAAGTACTCAAAGCTTTTGTAAAAATCAGATTTGAGATGTATAGAACACACTGCTAATAAATTTATCATTAATCCTTTAAAAAGCATTAAAAAAAAATAGGATCTCAAGCCTAGTTATCCTAAGATCAGTGAGGAAATTGCCACCATTCTCAGAAGGCAGATTGGAATGTACAATGGATTCTTGCACTCCAGACTCTGATAATGACAATAATTAAAACTGGCATGATTTTTGCCTTCTTACCTGAACGTATTTGACTTAAAACAGAGTGAATTCTGGTTTAGGTTGGTGTAAAAGAGAAGGGAAGCTAATTACATCCACAGAAACATCCCACCATTCTGCTTTAATCTTATTGAGAACACATTGATGGAGTGGGCTGGAAGTCAGTGCAAGCCTAATGCTAAGAAGCTTAGAATGAACATGATTGATTCAAATGGGACTGCAAAGTTTATATGGAAAACTGTGATTATGCAATCAAATTCATGTAGTGAGCCCTTGATACACACATCAGAAAATCTCCTAACAACATTGGGAGCTGAATATTAGCTATCTTTAATCTGTTTCCTTTATAAAATGGAATGGAAGCATTTAAAAATCTCCTGTCAGAGACTTAAAAAACCCCAAACAACCCACCAAAACCCACAAAAAAGCCCCAGAACAAAACAAATATAAGAAAAGCCTAACAAAGCAAGCAAGAAAAAAAAAAACCCAAACAACTAAACCTAAGCAGAAATATAACACCACTGCCAAAATAAGTAAATAAGTACATACATACATATATACATACAAACAAACATACAAAAAAAGCAAATGAAAACCAAAACACCAAAACAGTGGAATTTAGGCAGTGGAAATGTTGGACTATTTTTTTCACAAGCCCTTAAGCAAATATAAATGTGCTTAGATCAACTAAGTATTGGCATGCAAATGAAGTTCCCTTAGAAAAAATAATAATTCCTACCTTGAATACTAACTAATACCTTATAGACCATTAAAAAAGCCTTAAGCATCTGGTGGAGTTAATTGGGGGGTAGTCATGAAACATATCTCTTTCTCTGACATGTGCTGTAGCCTGCATTTTTCACAGGGGAGGATGAATTTCAGTGCGTTTCTTATAATGCAATTCCAGCTTTTTAAATTTCTTCTTTCCAATTCAAATTCTAAACCCTAAGTGTTTTGTGGGCTAACTTTTTAAATGATAAGTGCTCGAGATCAAAACTGTGCTCTGAGCAGAGTCTGTGTGGGTCCCATAAATTCTAAGTAGGCACCTCCTCTATTTTCCAGTTAAGAGTAGAAGTGGGGAATGGCTTTCAAGATAAACTTGGCTTTTCCTTTTCCTATTCCTATTGGTGAAGTTTTCATTGTTTATATAATTCCAGAGTATATTTGCCACAGGACTTTCATGGACATGAATCCCCACGCTGCAGTTCTTCTTTCTCTCTTTTGGTTTTGTAGGGATCCTACCATGGGTATCTTTCCAACCTCTGTACTCTAATAAGGAACCTAAATTAGGTTTGATGGATCTGGGACAAATAACTCTGGTGACTCTGTGAGATTTCTTTTGTTTGCGCTGGCAAAACATTTAAGCATGAACATTTTTACTGCTCAATAAAGCAGTTAATCATATTTTAAAGTATAAGTCTGGGTCGAAGTATGTGATTGAATCAGATCCTTTGAAGTTCACTGACCTGTGGTAAATTGAGAATTTCATGGCTGACTGCACAATTAAACTTTGACTTCAGGGCATATTTAGGTTTAAATTTCTCATTAGGAAGTAATTCTGAAGCAGGATTTTTTTCTCCTGACAAATGCAAATAAGTTGTGTGGAGGTTAAACAAAAATTTTATTTTGCAATTAAAACCAAATTTATGCATAATTTTTATAAATTATTTCTCTGCTTCAGGTAAAAGTAATTGGTTCATAGCTTAATATTCAGGTAATCTTTGAACCTCCATCAAGCTTTCTTACACATTTTCTAGGATCATATGAAAAAATATGAAAAAATTTTCTACTTTTCATTTGTCCCAGTCTCTTATGAATTATCTTTTAAAAGATAAAGGGAGACAGCAACATGGATAGAGTAATATTCTACAAAACCCTATTAGAATTGAAAGATCAGTCTCTTGGTGCTTAAAGTATTAAATTTGGCAACTACTGAATCCTTTTTCACACCAGTAAGTGTGAAGAAAGTGACTTTTATAGAAGGTAATTGAGACAGGAAGACAGGATTACAAAAAATAGATCCCGAAAGGTCCATTCAATTACCAGGAATACTCCTCTGCCTGCTGTAGTACACTCATTACTGCTGGAATGCTGATTGAGATTCCCAGTTGCCATATACTGCCACAGCCCCACAGGAGTCTGCAGTACATTTTTGGTTCATGTTATTTGAAGATTTGCCTCTAGTTGTGATGATATAAAACCATATCTGATGGTATAAAATAATCTGTGAATTGGAAACATAATTTAAATTTAATTCACAGTGTTTATTCAAAAAATAGGTGTCATATTTTAAAAGCTGGGATTTTGCTGGGAGCATTACAATAAAATGGGACTATTTATCTGTCTTGTTCTGTGCTGGATATGTTTTTACCACTTTCCAGATGAACAGAGCAAAGAAACATATGCTGAATTACAAATTCAGGGGCGCATGTACATTATCAAAAAGCAGATTTAGAGACTCTTTGTTTATCAGATTCCAATTATGCTTCCTGCGGAGTCTGTCTCTACAGCCAGACATGATTAATCCTTCTTTCATCAAGGATTTTGGAGATGGGGGATTTCACTCGTTTTTTCTCTTGGAAAAGCCAGTGCTCTGTCTGGGCTTGATCCTTGCATTTCAGTTGCAGGTTTTTTGCTTGGGTAGCTGAAATGTTGGAGCAGCATGGGCACCTAATGCATTAAATGACTCCCTAAGATGTGGACCTGCCCACGCTGGGTTTGGTTGGTGGTGGGACCTTTGGAAAAACCAGGCTTTACTCTCCTGGCCCTTCTGGCTTGGGAAGTTTGCAGTCAATCTAGAATTTGTTCCCCCCCCCGCTCTCCTGACCGTTCTGGCTTGGGAAGTCTGCAGTCAATCTGGAATTTGTTCCCCCCCATGAGCAGCAACCACATCCATCTGTTTCATCATGTAAGGAGCAGACACAGACACTGGGATGGGGATGGTTGGCACAGCAGAGCGTTTTCCTGCGAGGATGGTGGGGATGAGGGGTTCACACGGACACACTGCAGGGACAGCTTCTCAAACCAACACTTCAGCCACAGTTAGGGGACAAACGATGGATGCAACGTGGTGGTACAACTGCACATCACACATACATGATGCAGAGATGGCTATGGAAAATACTCACTTTTTCACTTGATTCTGCTTCCTTTTGGCTTCTGCACCCCTTTGGTGCATAGCAGGGAAGTAGGTATTTGTGTTTAGTGGAAGAAATTACACTGACTAACAGACACAAGCATTTTACTTATAAATTTATCATAGACTATTGCTGAGGAGACTGACAGACAGCCACTACAAATGGTGTGTTAAACATTTAATGAACCCAGGCTGAACTCCTGGCCCTGTTGAAGCCAATGGAAGTTTTTGCATGTCAATCTTTTTTGGGGTGCAGTGAAGATTGAGAGGTTGAGAGGGGGTGGCATTTTATGTGGGTTTCTAATTACTTTGTTAATCACTTAATGGAGAATTAGAAATGAAGCCTTAAACAGAGCATCTTTTTCCTCTGTGCAATTCCTTCATAGACATTGGAGTTCACCATGAACAAAACCTGGTGTTCAACAGGGGCTGAGGAGGAAGTGCCAGACCTGGTTTCCAAATTAGTAGATGGTATTTCTAGAATGTGTATTAGTGCAGCATATCTGCGATGCTCTGCTAGAGCAGTACGTGCTGGTGTGTGTGCATCTTAGAACTTTCTAAAATACAGTAGCTGTTATCCTAAATCATGACAGGAATAAATCAGGACTGTGGATTTCGTTTAAGGCTCTCATGTAAAACTAGCTTCCAGCAATTTCCATTCCTGATGAGCTGGAAGTATTTGTGTGCAGTAAACACCGGCAGTAAGCTAAATGCACTTGCCTGGGGAACAAATTCAAGTAAGTGAGCAACATGAGGGAATAAAATCCACTCTCATAACAGGAGTGCTGTGGTTTACAGTAGTGTTCAGTCACTGTCTTTAAGAAACTAATGGAACCACCAAATACTTGGTGGCTACTCCAAGGTATGTGTAAAGTTTGGTGAGGGGACGTACGTCCTTCCTTTGATTGAAGGTGTAGAAATGAAAGCAATGAGATGTGCCAAGTCACATATTCTGATCCAGACCAGGAGCAGAACCCCAGTGAGAGCTTAGGAATGGGATCTGAGATATTGGAAATGACACTACTGTGAACTGCGTTTCTTATTTTACATATGCACTGAATGGGAATATTTTATACATGAATCGCAAATGAGTATTTATGGCGTGACAATTGATGGCATGAATTAGAACCGAGATTTTAAACTAGCTTTAAAAAACTTTCTGGTAACTGGACTGGGGGGAAAAATGCATTTTTGTTTAAATTTTCACGTCAAACCATCTAAACCCCCAACATTCACCCCGGGCTATTTTCCCCCCTCAGTGAAGCAGCGGGATGCCGCTGGCGCGGGATGGGTCACCCAGTGGGGCTGGGGACTCGCGCAGCGCCCGCGGCCCCCTCAGAGCCCCGCGCTCTGCCCACCTGGGATGCCACAGTGAGGAGGGGCTTTTCTTCTGCAGACTCCTCCCTCGGAATCTCCTTCATCACCATGGCCACAGCCTTATCGGCCGCCCTAGCGCCTTTGCCCTACAACAGCGAAACCAACAATGGCGCCAGGTCAGCAGCGGGCTCCGAGCACCTCCCGCGCGCGCTCCCGACCCGGCCCGGCGGGAGGCCGGCCGCGCCTGCGCCTGGAAGCGAAGCTCGGTTGGAAGCAGAACACACACACACGCTGGTTAAAAATAGTAAAAATTATAATAATAATAGTAATAATACAACAAATGGTGGGTCAACCCAATGGTTAAGGAGGCAGTTGGGGTCTAGCCGTGGTCGGGTGGCTCGTTCGAGTTGCCCCAATGAAGTCAACAGGAATCCGGCACTTTCCTGCTGGGCCAAGGCCTGCTGGAAGTTTCCCTGTGCCAACCTTCTGCAGGATAGGATCACCAGAGCAGTAGGGGTTGGAGGATCAGCCCGTTGATTTAATTTTAGTTATCTAAGTTTATACCCAAAATACCTCCTCATGAGTTTTTTCTGGTTTTTTTCTTAAAAATAGCATCAAGCAGAGTATTCAAATAAAGCACAGTTCCTTGTTGTTCACTGAGGCAAACTCTCCCTGAAACTTGAATGTATAATCTGGACCCACAGAGTTTATAGCTCTAGTAACATTTTAAAAAGCAATTTACATCATATAAACAGTCTGGGTTTTCGCTAACAGAACATACGGAGCCAAATTCTGCCATCGTACGCATTGCTACAGCTCTCCCTAAAATTATCATTGTTGTAGAACTTACTGTAAGGATTTTTTTTTTTAAACTTCACTTTTCTTAAACTTCTCTTAATGCATTGTAAATATTCTGGACAAGGTTAAGATATTTTAACATTATTTACTATAAATTAGCCAAATAAAAAGTGCACCAGTATTATGTGCCATGCTGTTTGATGCCATTCTTTTTATTTAATGAGGCTCTTTATCATCTTGAGTTCTCATGGGTTTCTGTATCTTGATCTTTGGTCTTATTTTGATCTCTGTCTCTTGCAAGTGACAGAGAAGGTTGGAGCTTACATATAAAGCATCACAGCAGAGCTGTATATACCAGTGACCCTGGGCAGGTCCTTATTATTATTCTTTAAAAGCTCCTATTGATTTCCATGGAAGTTTTAGCTGTGCAAAGACCGCAGGATCTGGCTCCATAAAAGAAGTATTTTACACTGGACTTAAATATATTTAAATCCTTAAAAGTCTGTTAACAGAAGGGGTTCTTTGCTAAGACATCATATAAAAGAATTATCTTCACTAGCAGTATATTCTGTGTCAGGTTAACCCCCTGTCCTGGGTTGACTATTGTTTATACCAAACTACAGATGGTTTCAGGAACGTTTCATCAGTTGCAGGTAAAACCATTGCGTACTACTGCAGGTTCTAAATGGGTTTTATTACTGGTCAGGTCAATATTAGATTAGCTTGCTTGTGCAACACATCACAGATACCCTACAGAGAGTTCTTAGCATGCTGCAAGAAATTCTCAGAGCAGAAGTGTCATAAATGATAAGCATGCTGGACTTGTGATGCCTTTGATATCCAAAGAACTGCAAAGTCATAGTAAAATTAAATATATTAAATTCAATGAGAATTACATTTAATTGGTAAGCATATCAAAGGTTCTGGGCCAATTACGTGTTTGTTCATAATTCACATGACATATTCCAGGTCTATGAAGCTTGTTTCCAGTATGACACATGAGCTATCATTAGCTAGCACTAATAGCATGCTATTGGTCTTTATAAAATGTAGTCCTTTTGTGCTGAGTGCTAGAACAAAATCGTTTATCAGCTAGGAAGGATGCATTGGAAAGCATGCAGTGCTTTTTATTTCTTGCAGAGTAAAAACCCACCAAAGCAAAGGTCAGGTCACTTTTTTGAAGACAGAGCCACTTTTTCTTCAAGGTTTCACCTACTGCCTGAAAAGAGTCATGATACTCGTATTAGTGCCTGCTGTTCATCCTCCACACACGTCACTGCAAAGCCCTGGGAGTGGCTGACACCAAATACAAAATCTGTCTCACCACTTTAAAGTGGCCATGCTACAATGGAGAAAAGCAACCCAAAGGATACCTCTGTGCTATTTTTAATGAACAGACTTAGTTTATTTGCTGGGCAAAGCAAGTGATTTGATGCTACCTTTTTTTAAAGTCAGATCTTTAACTTTCCTAAAAGCAAAACACACTTTCCTGTGTGTAAGTCAGGTTGACATCCTTGCCTGGTCAGCCTATGGCATGGGAAACATTTTTAAAGTAGAAGTTGGTAGTAATTTCCTGGTTGCCAAAGAGAAAGTCAATGCAGTGGAACAGCTTAAATTATCAGATTCTGCTGGAGAGGTACACAGGGGAGCAATTCACTGGAAGATGCAGCTTTTCATTCTGTTGACTAGAAATTAATATTGTTGTTCTATGTAAGAGAGGTAACCTTGAAAATTTTGGTCTCTCTTCCCTGCAGTGACTGTGTAGCCAGTTCTTGCCTATGAAGCCATTAGGCTGAAGAACTGGAGAGAAATAAAATCAGTTTTCCCGTGGTCAGGATGACCTTGTTATTGTTGTCAACTGCAGCTGAAGTGAAAATCTCCAGCACATTTATTACAATAAACATTGAAGAATTATTATTTTTTTAAGGTGCTAGTTACTTAGCCTCTTTTGATATTAAGTGTTGTTTCTTAGCATGCCAAAGTGCCTGGCACAGCACTTATTGCTCAAACCCTGTAATTCTCTAACAGCTAATTTTAGACATGCCAGAACTTCAAAACAAACAGTTTGTTGGTACTGGAGGTTTGCAAGGTCAGTTACTTTCTCATGTAAACCATAGTTTAACAATTTAGTAAATTAATTTCATCATTCCCTATTGGTTTGCAATATAGAAATGGAAACAATTGTGATGTAGAACATGACAACCCATGTGCAAATTATGACAAATGTGAATTGATGAAGGAAAAATGTATTAATTGTTTTAATGGAACGTACTGCTTAAGGGAAACTGAAAAATGTGCAGTATTTCACTATTTGATACAATAAAAAAAATGCAACAGTTCCTTTAGGTGGTATCTCCAAAGCAAAATAAGGAGTAGAGTTCAGAGTATTCCCCTGATACTAAATATTATAACAGCATTGGGTTCAAAACTTAATAACAATTTCTCTGAGCTTTTCCTTTGGGATCAGATAATGGGTAGTAATAGACATTTCCATAGGAGTATGCTGATTTAGCAGGATTTTGTAAGGAAATACTTTTATTCTGCTGCAGTTTCTGAATAGTTCCAAATTCAGTTTTGTACAAGTCACACTATTTAGATGTAGTACTTAGTAATGAGTATTTAATTAAATTACTATAAGAGTATATTAATGTAAATTTCTAGTGCAGCATAAAGTTGACTTTTTTAATAAGTGATGCATGTAAATTTGTAACTATGATTATCTATGAAAAACTTTAAGTACTTGGGACCAACAGATCACCTTCATGTCCTGATGGGCAGATCAGAATGAAGGCATGCTCACACTTGAAACATTACTATTTAGAGCAATACTCTGTAACTCTGCAATTATTTTCTTCATTACACTGATTTGCAAATTTGTTCTCGTGTATGTTCTCGTGAAAAGCCAACAGCCAGTGCTTTGTAAATGTTTAACATTTTGACAACAGTATTTAAACTATAATGATTAATTGCAGAAATTATTTGTTGTCATCTATGTAATAAAAGGATTTTATCCAAAACCATTTCATAATTATAAGATTGCTTTTGACAAATATTTGAGGTACTTGAGTCCTAAATTCACTTTTCAGGAATATTTATAGCATCTGTTCTTGTAAGAAAGTGAGCAGAAAGAAATGATCGGATTTTCTTTTTTTTTAACATGCATACATGAAGAAAGTATTCCTTCGTTACATAGACCTGTGTCTGTGTAATTTATTTTTTAAAGATCCTACCAAGCTGTTTCAGCTTTAATTGACACACTACAATGCATCCCTGTTCACAGAAATCATCTCAGCGTGGGCATATTTAAATTTCAACTTCGGTAAAATAGAAGTTTTAAGGCAGTTTTCCTTATAAAGAAATTTAATAGATAAGTTTATCTATTAAAATTTATCTTCAGGCAGTGCTGGTATGGCAGGATTACTGGTTTCATGGGCATCTCCCTTTCTAGCTGAGGAGAAAGAGAATAACATTTATAAATGTAATATAAATAATAAATAAATGTAATGCCAAAAAATATGGCCAGATGTCCTGACCTTTCCCACTGGGCTGTTGAACTGAAATGTTTGAAAACAAAATAAAAACAAAACCCACCAGTTCAGGACATCTTGAAGTACCAGTCTGCACTTTAAATACCTTTAATAGTTTGAGAGGGCTTTTGTAAAGCAAACTTTATGAAAGATGCATTAGTGAGAACTTGAAGTTTGAGGAGGTGTTCTGGAGAAAGATCAGGGAGTGCTGCTGAACGTGTTGGATCTGGGAGGCTTGGCTGCCCTCCAGATCCCCCAGCAGCTGATGTATTAGAGTACCAGCTAAGCAGCCTATTGCAAATGGCTTTATGCTCCACAAATCTTCTTGTTTTGTGCAGTTAAAAAATAAAAGTGAAGGGAGAAACTTGGCTTTATTTTTTTAAATCATGCAGCGCTAAGGTTTTTACCCCTCAAAATGAGCACACAGAGCTATGCAATGGTACCATGGGAGTTCCAGTCTCCACAATACAACTGTGAGCTCTTGATTTACATAGGATCTGTTTATTACTTCAAATTTTTCTTTTCTCAGGCTTTTGTGTTCATGTTTTCTGCATATGTCTTTCTTCTCATCTATACTTTTCTACTTTTTCCTAATGATGTTTTGTCTTTCATTTAATATATAATTAAAAATAATGAGGAAACATATGGTATGGCAGTTTTATGGATGAATACAAGATTGATATTTAAACAGAAAATTCTGTTTCATCAAATCTCATGGTAGTTTTTTTATTATGAGCCTAATAAAGTCAAGTATGTGTCTAAGATAAATGGGAACACAATTCCTTTGGACAGTGCCCAGTTGACCATGGTGAGGAAAGCTGAACAAGCTCTCAGTCCTGGACTGGAAGCAGCATTGTCAGGGTTCAGATTAGGTTTCAGAACGTGATCTACTATTTTGATATTGTATTTGCATCATTTGGAACCTCTTATCAAACTCTCTGTTAGTGATTGTCCAAACTCTTTTGACTCGTGACCTTCAGTAGCTCATTCTTACAAGATTATGATGAAATACAGACAGAGTTGGTTACAGACAAGAATCAGCTATAGGAAGGCTTGCCCAAGAAGTAATTTATAGTAAAGCAGCTAAATCCATACTGGCTGAGTTCACAGTGTTCTACTCCTCTTTCACCCCTTTCCCCATCTTTTCATTCTCATGTTGACAGAATAACAGATTTCAGTGTTAATATGGGAAGACTTTACTGCATTCAAGAAAAATGGCAAATAAAGGAACAAAAGCTTATAAAAGGCAATCAGCATAAATTTTCACATTTACCCTCTCTGGGTTGTGTCTTATTCCCATTTAAATGTCGATAGGGTGGTCAAATTGAGTTCCAGTTTGAGAAGCATTTGCATTGAAATGGCACAGGAAGGTTTTCTGTTTATTGACTCTCAGTAACAGCTGCATCACGTGTGCTCCCTTGAGAAGCTGTCTCAGTCTGAAGCCTATGGATTCATTCCCAAAGCCAAGTGGGACAGCTTCCAAAGCACCTCTGGTGGAAGCTCTGCAAGACCCATTTTGCTCTCAAGAACTTGTGCAAAGTCACTTAACACAAATTATGACTGGAAATCAATAAACAATTCTGTCAAATCTAACTCATTCTCTATAAGCCAGTATGATTCCTGCAGGCTAAGAGGAGGAGGAGGATGTGAAATGAGGTTTTTTTCCTCTCTTAAGTCAATGAGTTTTATTTGGGGTATAACAGGGAGTGCACAGTTTGAGATAACAAGAAGATAACACCATAATGTTGGAGCAATAATGATGATTTGACTGTAAATAGTAAATCCAGCTGGGAATATAGGGCAGGCTGGTAAGAAGGAGGTCTGGGACAGAACTAACTACTTGGAGGTTGTTTAAGGTTCTGCTCCTTTTACAAAAGAGTTATATAATAAATCTCCTTGTGATAGGAGGCTTGGATGAGATGTTTTGCAGTCTTTTCTTTCTTTGCAATTGTCATCTTTAATAAGACCATTGTGAATACGTAGAAACTATTTTTTAACACTTATTTGATTGACTTCTTAATAATTTGGAATTGCATTACCAAAGGGATGAGTGGCTTGACTGCACAATGGTATACGACTTCAAAAATCTTAGGGAATAGCTGCGGGGTTTCTTTCATCTCTGCTTAGTCTGTGTCAAGGAACTTTGTGAAATCACTGGGTTTAGCAACTGGCAATTTTAAATTTGTTTGGTAGTCTTCAGCAGAGAATTAATACTGAAGTATTTTCTCTCCCATAATTTGAGTTCCTTTTATGTTGACTTCAGTATCATGATCCCCAGTCATAACATACACATAGCAACATAATTACTTGCTATTATTTGCTATATTGCCATGATGATGCATGTGCTGATTATAAAAGATTCCTCTGGTCAGTTCCAGTGAAATTCCAGGAGATCAAGTCACTTTCAAAATAAACAATTGTGAATAAAGTGCTGAATGTTGTTTAAATGTTTACTGCACACATGATGTGTAAATGATGGGTTTTGCTCCCTCATTTTCTCCCAGCACATGATGTATTGTTCTTTGAAGTGGTAGGGGTTCCTCACCTCCTGCTATACAATTTTTATGCTTTTGTTTCATGAAACATTCCGAGAACTCAGACTAACTCTGTTTAGGAAAAGCAATGAAATGAACTCAGAAGTGGTGGTATTTTACGTGGAAAAATCAGCAGCAGCTTATCAGTGAGCACGAAT